TATATATAATTTCATTGTATCATTGTTAGTTTGTTGTTAGTCTATTTCACAGCATAATTATATTATCACTTAAATCCACTGCTTTCTTTTGGTCATATGATACTAGCTCATTCCAGTTTTTAATTTTAGTCAGTCTTATGATGACTTTTCATATACTTTCATATACTATAAAACAAACAGCTTTTCATATTTGAAGCAGGAGAACTATAATGTGTAAACTTTACAGTATTGTGTTCTTCCCAACTCTACTTGGGGAATACATTTAATATGATCAGACAATGTTTTAATGATTTTTACTGGATTCCCAGAAAAATGCCTGTATTTTAAGAGGGACAGAAAAAGTATGCTATTGATTAGCCAATCAAGTCTTCCAGCTTTTCTTTTCTATCGTATCAGCAGTTCTTTTGGCTAGCCAGGATAAGAATAAGAATCAGGATATAATATGTCCCAACCAGATATTAGACAGTACATCAAGTTAGCAATTATTTAAAAAAGCAAAATGGAAGGCTCAGCTTATTTGTCTATTTGTTTGATCTATTTGATCTTACCATCCAAAAATGCCAAATATCTGTTCAAGGTTTCAATGAAATTTTGTTTCTCAAGTTCTCCTTGCTTGGTCTGATTTAAAGCACCCCAATTGCTTGTGGCAAGAATGGCAGGCAGAAAAACTGTTACCAAGCAATTTTTGATGGCAATCAAAAGACCTTCACTTCCATCCAATGATGAATAATATATGTCCTAAACAGGGAAGATTAAAATACTATGATTATTAGATGTGGAAAGAATCAAAAAGCTATTATGTAATAATAGTTGACATTTCAAAATAAATATAATAACTCTCACTTTAAAAAATGTTTTATGTTGCAATGAGAAGAATTTTTTCTCCTTGTATTTCATACTGCCTAAATTATGAAGAATCTTACAGTTGTTCTGTTCATATATGCTACTAACAATAAGGCAAACAAATCACATTATGGCTTTTTGTACTTTGTAAACCCAGACACTGTAACATTACATCCAACCAATGGTACCTATAGTATGTGTTGGGGGTTCAAATGCGGAAGTGTGTGTTGCAATGTCATAATGCAATCTATGTGGCTTGAATGTTTACATCTGACATTAAGCCCAAGTACAAAAAAGTGGTGCTTATGTGGTTCAAACCAAATAACTATGCACGCAACAAGAATTAAGACTCTATAATTTATGGGCCTTATTTCTATTATTGTCCTTAAATTTGATGATCTTTTTTGAGGAGAGGTAATAATGAGAAAGATGATAAAAAATACCTCATTCATTGTCTTAATATTCACAGGGACGTCATTTCTAGCACGTACAAAAAATAAGCACTGTCCTTTGAATTTGTCATGAGATTCGTGCACATACAATTTCATCATTTTAGTTCCTTTCAGAATACCTGGAATTGCTCTCCCACACTCTGAAAATGAAAAAAAAGAACAAACATCATTTTATCTTTTTAAAATTGATTTTATTATAATTTCCTCAATTGTTGTGAGTTGCCCAGAGTTATTGAGAGTCAGGCGGTTGAATACGTTGTTATTGTTATTACTGATGTTGTTAAGCTACAGTAAGTTTACCTGCTGTTTGGAATTACTTTGGCACTTCCTTTGATTAGTATATCAAACTTCTCCTAGCTATCTTTTCATCAAGTCACTGCTATGTAATAAATACACTAGTTTATGCAAAAGAAATACAGAGGTACAGCAGCAGTGCATGCACCCTTCGAAGAACTGAGGGATGAGGTTGGAGACAGTTTCTTTTGGACAAAAATCTCAGCTAAAAGTCAACACCAACTTGTCAATCAATCAAAATGTACAGGTCCTTGGCTTGTCCATATTAACTTATATTTACCCTCAATCTATAATTTAAATTTGTCCTATGCTGACCTATCATGTACTACAAAACAATTGACTGTTCCTACTTGATATTACTGAGCAATAACAACACATGTATTTTCTAAAATATAGAATATAAAACTTTGAAAAAATAATTCATGGAAAACATACTAATGCTATACCTCATATAATTCAGGTTATATTTAAATTCCTCCATGTCACCTCTAAAATTAATATTGAACATGAGTTTCCAAGCCATTATTTAGAAAACACAACATTATTATTAGCATTAGATTGTTCCATGCTATGTAGCATATCGGGCAGCAGAAAATACAACAGTGATAAAATCCAATTTGTATAAATTCTTTATTATTCTACACGATTGGCTCTTTTTTGTATGCATGTTATTAATACTTCAAACCCAAACAATTTACTTTTCTCTGACGTAGATAAAATCATTTTGAACATTTACCTATGCCAGGAGCTTCACCCTCTTGATAGATAAACTTCAGTGTTCTGTTTCCGTCTTTGGCAAAAAACATATCAAATGCTTGTAACTGTTAAAAAGGAAAGATATGATATAACTTCATCATTTTGCCAAATCACCAGTTTATTTATTTCTTTAAAAATTCCCTAAGGAAGTAATAGTTGACAAATATTAAAGTAAAACAAGATGACAACTCTCTGTGTTGACATTCCATGCAGAGCAGTGGTGAAGCCGGATCTCAGATTACAGTAGCTGGGTTGAAATGAATGAAGCTATTAGATAACATGATTTATGACAGGCTGAAGGGAGGACAGAAACATGGGCAAAGTTCAAAAGCAGATAAAAAAGGCAAAAAAGATGGCTGCGAATAAGAAATACCTAATGAAGAATGCCTAATGAAGCTGTTAATAAATCACTGTATTACAATATTGGGTCACTTATTATGAAGCAGGCATTGTTAGGGTACTTTACACAATGCCTTTAAGGTGTTTTCAGTTGTCATTATGTTGTTATGTGTAAGATTCCCTTCTAGCTTGATTAGGAAGAAAATAGAGAGAGGGACCTACCTGGCAAAGACCAGGAATTCCAAAACTCCTGAGGACAGCTACATTAATAAATCCTATCTGCCTTTTATTTCCCCAAATTAAATTAAAAAGTCATTATTTGGACAGGAAAAAACTAGAACTGAAACCTTGGAATACTGAATACCTGTGATGGATAGTATAAAATTGCACATGATGATCAAAGAAGAGTGTATAATTTATTTAATTTATGTTTAATTAATTTATTATATATATTCCTATAGTAGACTGGCCAAATCAGAATAAGGATGGATTCCTGAATTTATTTATTGTTACGTAGAAGGCATTTCAGAAAGTATTTGTATTCTTTATATTGTGACTCTTTGGTCTGATTATCTGAATCTCTCTGCCGTTCATTCCATACTGTGTGACTATGTGTGCATAAATCTATGTGTATATAAGGGTCATAACAGAATGCACATTTCATTAGAATAGAAATCAATATGCATGTTGTTCATATGTAAGTTATTCAGATGCTTATCTGGATTTACACATTGAATTTAATCATAACTCATATTTTGGTGATTTTGATGCTGAAAATCTCAGCATAGATTGTATTGTGATGATATTAGTTATCTATTAGAGGGTGAAAAGCATAATGAATACTTAAATACTTAATAATTAAAATGTTACTTGTAAAACAAACGTAAAGTAAACTCACTGTTGGGCCATCCAGGATTAATTCTTCTACTGTTCCAATGTCTAATCCAAGTTGGTCAGATAAAATTTCAAAGATATATTTATATGCAGCATTAACTTTCATTTTTCTGCCTTCTCTTGCTTCTTTGTATCGTGCCTAGTTGGAAAAAATGAGGAAAAAGTATGCAACAGTTGTATGTTTACTGTTCATTGTTTCTGTGCTACTCATATTTTATTTCAAATATATTAAACTATATGAAACTAAATAATGAGCAATGTTCAACCAATTTATCTCTATATCGGTTTCTCTTGCTTTTCTTTATTATTTCTCTTCTGTTGTTTTTTATTTTAAAGTTTTTTATTTATTTTTGTTACATAATAAAAATTCTTTTGTGAACAGAGTGTTGTCCGAATTCCCCCTTTAACATTCCTGCCAAGAGACATAATTCATTTTACATTATATTCCCATTATTTCCAATTTATTATTTCCCCAGCCATTTATCGCCGGGGTGCTTCTGGGTTCCCTCTTCTGTTGTTTTCTAACAGTTCCTTGAGGTAGGAATTCTTTAATTACTTACACAATAACAAAAACATAGAAATGCATACATATTATTTCAAGTCTTAGAAATGAAAATATATATATGCAAAATGTTGATCTGAAACAAAAAAAATCAACTCAATACATGGTTAGAGTTACAACTGATCCTGATATGTTTTTGAATTTATTCAGCTAATGTACCAGTTTTGAAAGAAAGAAAGAAAATAGATTAAAGGAAGGAAGGAAGGAAGGAAGGAAGGAAGGAAGGAAGGAAGGAAGGAAGGAGCCTCATTCTTGAATTATTACAATAATTCATTTTGGAACTAATAAAAATGGCGAGACAGTGAGCCTTATTTATTTTTGCATTTAGTCAATCAAAATATTTTGCATACATCAAACATTGACTTCAAAATAATTCTTTTTAGATTAAACCTCAAATGAACATGTTTTCTCTAAAAACAACAACAAATCAGTGGTGAACAAACTTTTAAAAAGAGAGGAAAAAAGAATGCAAAACAACAAATGAATTACAATGAAAAGTTATTTATTTTCAAAAGTACCACACTGTAAATCATAATGTAATCTTTCAACGTATGAGTAACAAAAATAATCCATCAGTTCTTCTGAGAAAAAAAATCCTGGCCATTAAAAAAACAAACAATCAATGGCTTGGTTCCAAGAAGTGGTGCAGAGACATTGGTGCCCCAGAACATAGTTCTTTTATCAAAATGAGTGTTGTGCTGTAGGCCTGACCCTTTTAGAAGTGTGTGAGATAGCATGGCATATAGAAAAAAGGTGGAGTTTGCATTGCAATGGTAGAACATGCTTCCCCATTCTGTTATATTCCAATCCCCCTGCCACCCTCCATGGCTGCTGCTGTACAGTTTCCATCAGAATCAGTTGGGACAGTTATCCCAGATAGTAAAGGTTTCTGTCAAGAACCCTGGTATAAAATCCCCAACTATTTTAACTGATATTTGCTTTCCAGTACTTTGGAAAATGTAAATAGAAATGTGATGCACAGTTGCCACTACATTGCAACATCTTCCCTGCTCAGTCCTTGGAATTATCAATTTGACAAAATACAATGCCCTCCTAAATTCATTCATGAATCACAACTCTCTATTCTGTTCTTTTTGCAAATATCTAATGGACCACTATATAATAATCCTTGTGGATCCAGGAATATATGCTTTGCCCTTCTTAATTATATTCTAGATATTTTGGCCAGTTCCACGTTTGATGTTAATCAAATCAAAGGATCTGAACAACGTATTATTAAGGTGACCAGATTTTCAGATTGGTAAAGAGGGACACCTTTGACCGGGGGGGGTTGATTAAAAATTTTATACGGAGCAACAAAAATTTTCATATATAAATTGTAACTGTTGCCAAACATCAAAATTTTGATCATGTGACCATGAGGATGCTGCAAC